AGTGAGTCTCAAAGTGAGTTTTGAAAAATATGCCATTGTTTCAAGCAACTACTCCTGGGATCCCAAACCCCTCCCCAGTGCTATGAACGTTTTTGCATTTCATCTCTACCATTTTGCCACACAGAAATCTGACCTCATGAAAGTACAGAATACTTGCTGGCCATAAGGCTTGGCTGGAGCTCAGGAAGAGTACAGGCGTCTTGACACAAGGCCCTTACTAGACTGAATAAAGTGATGAGCAGGTAGAAATAAAAATGTAATTCCAAAAGACAAGTGGAGAATTCTCTCAAGAACTAATAGCCCCAGTTTTGAACGTTGTTATTTGTGGATATACAATGTACTTTCTGATTTTTCCTGTATCCAAATCTTTAAGGCCTAGTCTTCCTAGATGTCATCAGGTTAAGTAAAACCACTCTTGCTCTGAAATTCTGCAGTGTTTACTACAATGGCTTTCAAATTTTTGCTGTGTTCCAAGATAAGAAATGAATTTTGTGTATTAGTTCCACATATTTTTATAAAAGTCTAGTTTAAAGTTTTACTCTGTGTTCTCCTAGAGGTAGACTTTGAGATAAGGGTTTATATGCAAGTGGTTTATTTGGAAGACAATGCCAGGAAAGACTAGGGAAGAAGAGAAGTGAACCTGGAAAGGAAAGGCAGACATTAAAAAGCGCATTATCAACAGTTGCTTAATTTCCCTGGGGAACACTGGGAAACACTTTTGTGGGAACCAACCTTCAAGTTGGCCCCAGCAATCCTCGCCTGCTGTATTCATGCTCTTGTTTAATCCCCTCCCACAACGAACCATATGTGTGGCCTGTGTGGCCAATAGAACATGCCCTCTGTGGTTAGCAGCCCCTGAGATGGCCCCAGTTATCCCTGTCCCCTGGTAGTCATACCCGTGTATAATCCCTTCCCCAAGAGTGTGGGCCATTTATAACCAATAATAAGGGAGTCACTTGTAGCCGATAGAATGTGGTCAAGGTCATAAATGTCAGTTGTGAGATTAGGATACAGAAAGACCCTGGCTTTCTTCTTGTTTATGCTCTCTTGGTCTTTTCCTCATTGGCTCCGAGGAAAAACTAGCCACCATTCTGTGAATTGCCGTATGGAGAGGCCCATGTGGTGGAGGAAGTGAGGCTGCTGACAGCCCGGGGAGTGAGCCTGGAAGTAGATCCTCCCTTAGTTGAGCCTTGAGACGCCTGCAGCCTCAGCCAACACCTTGAGAGAGAGCCTGCAGCCTCAAAAGAAACCTTGAGTCAGAGGCACCCAGGTAAGCTGTGCCCAGATTTCCTGATCCCTAGAAACTGTGTTAATCATTTTTTAAAGCTGCTAAGTCTTGGGGTAATTTGTTTTGTAGCAATAGATAATCAATGCAGTATCTGACTTTTGAGGCTAGATCATAAAACATGTTGCTCTTCCCACTTTGATCTCTCTTTCTCTTGGATTACCAGCCCTGGGGGAAGCCAGTCACAGTTCATGAGGAGACTCAAAAAGTCCTATGGAGAGGTCCATGTGGTCATAAGCTGAGGTTTCCTGCCAATAGCCAGCACCAACTTGCCAGATCTGTGAATGAGCCATCTTGGAAGCAGATCATTCAGTGTGGTCAAGACTTTGGTTGGCTGCAGCCCCAGAAGACATCTTGACTACAATCTCATGAGCAATCTGGAGCCAGAACCACCAAGTTAAGTTGCTCCTTAATTTCTGACCCATGGAAACTGTAAAATAGTGAAGTTATTGTTATATTAAGCCACCATGTTTTGGGGGTAAATTGTTTTGCACCAGTAAATAGTGAATGTAGTGTAGAACAAGAGACTCAGAGTTATCCTACCTAAGTAAAGGAGCTGGGGTATTTATACACCAATATCCATCTATCAATGGATGAGGGCTATTTCTAGGGTCTCTTAATTCTCCAGCAGTTCCCTGTGGGCACAGAGGGCTTCAGTGGTCAGAAGAAGCCTACAGGCAAAGAGATGCAGATGTCGGCAGTTGGAAGTCAGGCCTGGGTGTACTGAAAAGTAAAGGTGAGGGGATATGGGATGGGGTGCTCACGGGACTTGCTAACTTGCAAACTCAATTGCAATTTCATCTACATTACTTCCCTCCTCCCAGGCAAGCTTGGAGTACCTACTCCTTCTTTAGGGTTTGATCCCTCCAGGGGGTTTTCTGGTAGAAGGAAGAGGAAAAGGATGAGCATCTCTTTACATAACTGTTCCTATCTCTGATATTCCCTTTGTTGGGTGGTGGTGGTTCTTGGGCCAGCACTGGCTGGTTGCTGATGCCCTCTGTGGCAGGAGTTCAAAGGCTAGACCTCCTTCCAGTGTGCGTGTCTAGATTTTTCTGAATGGCCCTGTGTCAATTCCCTGATGGATATTCACCTCTTCGACTTCAACTCAGCTTTCACTACTGCCTCCCTTTGACTGGTGGGCAGCCCAGTTGGGTGAAGTAGAGGCAAGTTAAGTCAAGTGTAGCCACTTTAGGTGATGTTGCTTGACAGTTGGGGGATTCACATCATCAGCCTCACCAAACTGCCAAGGTGCAGATTGTTCTGGGATTTCCTCTGCCACGTATCTCCTCTTTAGGAGTATGCCCTGCTAGGGTAGACACAGGACACAGGGCATCCCCATCTTGCAGTAATCTCAGATCATTACCACTGATTCAGAGCCCTTTCGGTTGTCTTCTAAATGCGAACAGCAGTCACACCTGTTGGGAGGAATCATTTCTCATCCAACACTACTTTCCAGTTGGTGACTCAGCTGTGCATCCCAGCTTCTGTTTTTGGAGCAACAGAAAAAGTCTTGCCAAGCACCCTGTAATACAAATAAAATGCTTTCACAGTGCTGGGCAGTGGGTACTCCACGAATGTTCATTTCCCCCCTCTTCTCAGTGATGACAATGGAGGATGCACAGGTGTGGCTGGCTTGAAGACATGAGGTTTAATACAATAGGCTCAGAGAGAGAGGGAAAGAAAAGAGCTCATGCATTACTGGCTCTAGTGCAGAGCCTAGCTTGGAGTGGGTGCTGTAGGTATTCACTGAAAGAAAGAAAAACAAAGCTGATGTAGGAGTCTTTTCAACAGAAAGCAAATGCATAGAGGCACAGAGGTCCATTGCACCATCCTCTGGGAAGACACAGGATGGTGGCCTTACCCTGTTCATCAGTCGCCAGCCCCTTCAGGTCAGGGGCCTTTCCTTCCCAGCCAGGCTTCCGTTATTTGGCACCAAGCCTCTGCCATCCCACTTGCTTTTTTTTTTTTTCCCTGTAAAATGTAGCCAGACCCAAGTCCCTCACCATACACCCTCCCTTCCAGAGGGAGGCTGCTCAGGCTCCCTCCCCCTTCCCTTTCTTCCTTTATTTCTTGTTGCATCCATATATTTCTGTATCTACTACAAAGGTCAGAAAAACAAATCAATGAAGAGAAGGACCGAATAATCCTAAGACCTGACTCAGAGATGGGGGGTGGGGAGGGAAGCTGCTCAATAAAAATGAAAGAGAATTTAAAAATTCCCTGAACAAGGCACAGCATGGGGTACCGATCAAAGGACCAGGCAACTTTGGTCCTCTGTGCACGAGCTGGATGCTCTGAGGCTGGGGGAGAGATGGGCTCCGGGCCTCAGTCTCCCTCCCTATCTCCTTTGCATCACACACACACAAAAACATACACACACATTCTCTCTGTCTCTCTCTTCTTCTTCTTCTTGGACCACCATTTGACTGTTAAGGAAAGATCTGACTATGGATTTCAGGAGTCTAGGAGGCAGAGGGAAGAAGGCATTGACAGCTTGCTTATTTCCCTGTAGTGGTCCCATTTGCCAACGCTGTGCCCAAGATCCCATCCACTACGAGAGAGGTACCAGGCAAGGGTATTGATAGTGGCCGAGGAACGGGATGTTACAAATCCCACCTGGCATTCTCTGAACCTATCTTGGAGGAAGATATGAAAATAAAAGCTGGTGAATCTGAAAAGAGCTAAATCAGCTTCTAAAGTCCCTTCTTTGTGAACAGCAGCTCTTTCATGCAGTCCTTCCTGACACCTATTACTCCCTAACCCCCAAGGAGCACTCTTTCCTCAGAGCATCCACTATACTCTAGTCTCTTCTACCAGAGCACCGGGGCTGCATTTTCAGTCTTCATTATTTGTCTGTCCCATTCTATTCTAGGAGGGCTGAGGGTAAAACAGATCAAGGGCAGACTGCCTGAACTCAAATTGAGCCACCATCCTTTACTGGCTGTGTCATCTTGGACAAGTGACTCAACCTTAGTTTCCCTATCTGTAAGCCTTTGTGGCTTATCTCTTCCAGATTCTATAGCCTCTGTTCTTCTCACAGTTTTTCATGTAACATGGCTTCCAAAAACACCAAAAAGGTGTTTTTGTTCCTTTTTTTTTTAGCAGGAACAGCATCATCAGAATAAGACTAGAAGCTTTGGGAAAGCTCCCTTGGATGTATATGTTCTAACATGTTTGCTATCAAGTGACACATCACTTTGTGCTTGTTGTGCAGAGCTATAGAAAATATGTAGCCTTCCATATATTCCTAGGTAGAGAAGACAACATATGTGCGTGTCTATGTTTCTGTGTATGTTTGTGTGTGTGTGTGTGTGTTCTGTGTGTGTGTATTTGTATGGGTATATGTGATTATTTTCCTGCTTGTTTCCAGAGTTTTGGGGTGGCTAGCTGATTGAAACAGAATAAAGATTATGGGAAGGATGCAGAAATAGATACTTTAAGATTTCTGAGTTGAGCAGATTAAACATGTATGGGAAATTTGGCTTTTTCTTTTCTTTTTTTTTTTTTTTTGAGATGGAGTCTCACTCTGTTGCCCAGGTTGGAGTGCAGCGGCCCAATCTCAGCTCACTGCAAGCTCTGCCTCCCAGGTTCAAGCAATTCTCCTGTCTCAGCCTCTTGAGTAGCTGGGATTAGAGGTGCCCCACTAATTTTTGTATTTTTAGTAAAGACAGGTTTCATCATGATGGCCAAGCTGGTTTCAAACTCCCGACCTCAAGTAATCTGCCCGCCTTGGCCTCCCAAAGTGCTAGGATTACAGGTATGAGCCACCACACCTGCCATTTGGCTGTTTTTTTGTTTTTATTTTAAGTTAAAATTCTAAAGGAAACCTTCTTGGTTACCATGTTTTATTGGGAGGAGGAAAAATGGTTTTACTTGCTGTCCCTAACTATTTCTTACCTCCAATAGGTCAGAGAAATGGCAGCTGCATCCAGGAAGATGAGAAATTTGAGCAGGCTTAGAAGTTGGCAGCCTACAACACATTGGTTTGTGTCTTTCTTTTTTTTTTTCAAGCCTACCTTTTCTTTGTCTTTTTCTGATTTATATAGCTACAAACCAAAGATAAATCTTGTATTTGTAAGTCACTTTCCCCATTGTTCATCTAATAACCCTCTGTGTGGCATACGCATTATTTTTTTCCATAAACTGAGGCATCATAGAGGATAAGAATGACTTGTCCACTATTTGGATATACAATTTATCTATCAATTCTTTTGCTGATAGACATTTCAGCTATTTGCACTTGGGGACTTTTATAAATAAAGTTACTATGAACACTCTTGTACAGGTCTCTTTGTGCATTTGTGTTTTCATTTTTTGCCAGGTCATATAATAGGTGAATGCTTATTAGAAATTGCTCACCAGTTTTCCATAATGGTTTTTACCAGTTTACATGCCCACAAGTGGCACCCAAGGGTTACGGTTCACTACATCCTCATCAATGCTTGGTATTGCACCTTTGGTTTTAGCTATTCTTGTGGGTATGCAGGTGTAACTCATTGTGGTTTTAATTTGTATTTCTCCGATGGCTAACAACTTTGAGCATTTTAATACATGTGACCTGGCCATTTGAATATCTTCCTCAGCACCAAAAGGAATGAACTTTTGCTATTCACAATAACGTGGATTAATTTCAAGCACACTGTGTTGAGTTAAATAATCTAGACACAAAAGAGAATCTACTGTATGATTCAATTTTTATGCAATGAAAGAAAAGACAAAGCTGATATATAGTGACAGAGGTCAGAATAGTGACTGCCAACGAAGCTGGAGGTATAGAGGGTGTGTTGATGGATGGGTCATTAGAGAAGTCTCTGGGGGTAATGGGAGTGCTGTTGATCTTCACCTGGGTAAAGATTACACACGATTTGTTTCTTCTGGCTTTATGAGCTCAACCTGGGCCTGTGCCAGAACACCTCTGTGTGTGGTCACCAAAGGCCAGTGGCTGACACGCCCTACTCCACCAGCCCAGGAGGAGGCCAGAGAAGGGGGCCTGGCAAGCCAGAGAGCCACATTCTGCCTTCTCCCATAGTATTAGTGTTTGCTTCATCATATAACTAAGCAAAACCACTTCACCCAGTTGTTCACTTTGTACATTGTACAAAGTTACCTGGCAGAAGAAGTGAATAGTACTGGAATCCAAGCTGTAGGCCCTGGCAGTTTCAGATCAGAGCAGGTGCCCTTTCCTAATCATCCCCTGAGAGGGAAGCCTTTTAAAAATTTTGTAGAAAGTCATGCTTTAAGCTAGCATGGCATTGTGGCTAATGTTGGGTCATAAACAGCTGTTCATAAGCAAAGTTTGCCTTGGTACTTGTTGAAATGGCATTCTAATCACTTTGGTGGGGAGACATCTCTTTGTAAAATAGAGGCACATTTGGGAAGTTTCTTTTTCCCCCCTAAATAGAAGCTCGTTGTGTTGCCCAGGCTGGAGTGCAGTGGTATAACCTCAGCTCACTGCAGCCTCCACTACCAGGGCTCAAGCAATTCTTGTGCCTCAGTTGCCCAAATAGCTGGAATTATAGGTATGCACCACCATGCCTGGCTAATTTTTTTTTTTTTTTCAGAGACAGGGTTTTTCATGTTGGCCAGACTGGTCTTGAACTCCAGGTCTTAGGCGATCTGCCTGCCTTGGCTTCCCAAAGTGTTAGGATTGTAGGCGTGAGTCACAGTGCCCAGCCTTTGGGGTATCTTTATGCTTGTTCATTCATTCTTCTTCCATCCATCCATCCATCCATCCATCCATCCATCCATCCATCCACCCAATGTTTTCTGTGTACCTAGGATGGTGCATGCTATTTACTGAGTGCTGTGTTAGCTGCCAGGGATGCAATGGCATTTTTCTTTTTATGCTCATGTCTCTAACTCCCCAGTACTTTGAAACATCTCTGGCCAGGGTATGCAACATATTTTTGATTTCCTGGCTGAAGAGTACAGCTTTGCCCTTGGATGTCACATACAAGTTGGAGAAATCTTCATGAGACGGTGTTTTCTCAGCTTCACACCATCAGCTCCTCTTTGTCTGTGGTTAAGAAAAAGTCCTGCCTGGTTGGGCTCACCTGTGGTGCTGCCTGCTCTGGTTTTGGGCCACCAGAAGACTACTTGGAGGGACTGGTGTAAAATGTTACTGCTTCTTCTAATTTAGACTCAACTAGAGAGTATTCTTGCATTCTGAAATAGGGGAAAAAATGAGATGGGGTGTCATAATAATCAACGTGATAATTCCTTATGTTTGTATAGCATTTTAACTATTTCCAAACCATTCTCACGTTAAATATCTTAACATCCAATGATAAGGGGGTAGATGTTATTAATGTACACAGAAACCCCATTGGGTTGACTGGCTAGATACTCTGCCCCACTGCCTGCTAATTAGAACTGGGTCCTGACTTCTGGCCTTTAAGGAGCCCCAACAGATAAGAAGTGTCAGTCAGTTACCTTAGAATTATCCAAGCAGTCCCAACATTCTCTCGAGATGAAGAGATTACTATTAATGCTTAGCATTCTTGTTCAACAGCACTTCTACCTAGCCGGCCTGGGAGTTAGAAGTCTAGAGAGGTGATTGGCAGCTGGTAGTCCACTCCCATTGGGAACAGAACGAGGAGAGAAGGAATAAAAGGCTCAGGGAGACAAAGTGTCTCAATAAATACTTCTGGTTGGGTTGATAGCAGAACCAAGAATAGAATTTTAGATGATCAGATGGTACAAATTTGTCTCGTAGCAACTGACTTCATGTTGCATTGTGAGATTTTTGTTTCAAAATAAAGATTTAAGTCATTTCCTATTAACCTTTTTATAATTTCTCATCTAGCAATGGACTTTTCAGAAACAAGATGATGTCATGTAAGTCAAAGAGGACCAGCCTTGAAGAGAAATTGCCCTGATTTCTGACTGGAGTATATATTGTTAATATCAAGTTGGCCTGGAGAAGTTGTTAGCCAAGAAAGGCTATGGCTGTACTTGGAAAGTGGGAACATTGGGAACTTACTGGAGGACTCCTGGTACTCAGACTTGGAGGGGTCTTGGAGACCTAGGTGGGCTAGAGCTGACTGAGACAGTGTAAAACTGGATGGTGCTTGGCTTTGTAAGGCATGCTGATGTTCACTGTAGCAGGAAAGGACCTTGAATGTGGTTATGATGGAGACATGGAACCTGGGCATTGACAAGTAGGTGTCCAGGATAAAGGCAGACATGGAGAAGAAATCTGAAAGGCCCTTAAGCCATGTGGCAGAGAGAATCAGACTCTATACTGAGAGACCTAACACAATACTTGGTGTTTAGTGGGCACTCAACAGATACTGGCTCCCCTAAAGATATTGGGTGTTCAAATTTGAATAAATCGAAATAACCACAGTGCAGTTCTAGGAAAACATTTGTATAAGGCGTAGCAGGATCTTTGCAATAAGAAGTCAATGGCTTCTTTGTTGTAAAAATTGTGGATGCTGTGGTTGAGGTAGTGTGGGGAGGCCCAGAGTTCTTCTGCACTGCTATTTGGTGTTTGCCTTTCCCCTCAGAGAATCTGTGAATCACCTTCTGGGAGTCCTCATAGTTCCACGGAGCACTAATCTAAAAACCAGTAGATTAAAGGATCTCTAAGGACAATTCTAACTCTAAGCATCAATAACTTTTATCATTAGCAAATTTCTCCCTAAGTCATCTTTTCTTTTGTCATTCATGCGGTGTCCTTGGTTTACTTTGGCACCCATGACTTAGCTGTGTAGATACTGGGTTTGGATATCAGGGATTGTGGAGGTGGCCACATATGGCCTTTTGTAGCAGAAGGCTGTCTTTTTCATCAATTTCACTAAGAAGTTTTCCAAAGAAGTCCTAGACATGGATGTGAATCAATTTTGCCCCAAAAAACCTTTGAACAGAACTATGGTGGATGGCAAACATGGCCACGATCATTTCCTTCCCTGTATTTACATCCCTGTACAATGTGACTTTGCAGGTCCTCTCATCAAGCTATGGAGTCTATTTCCTCCCCCTTTTAGTCAGAGAAGAATGTGATAGAAGTGACACTGTGCCTGTTCTGAGCACAGACCTTGGGACACCTTGCAGCCTCTGCTCTAAGCTGCTCTCAATAATCAAAGTGATAATTCTTTACATTTGTAGAGCATTTTAACTATTTCCAAACCATTCTCACATTAAATATCTTAACACTCAGTGATAAGGGAGTAGATGTTATTAATGTTCACAGAAAACCCCATTGGATTGACTGGCTAGATACTCTGCACCACACCCTTTTGGAACCCTGATCAGTCATTACACGACTGACCAGCCCAGGGTAGCAAGCTGGATGATGGAGATCATGTTGCCTAGAGATGAGCTGTTTTGGCGGAGGCTACGCTGTATCAGTCAGTTTCCAGCTGGCCTTGCATTTGATTGTAGAGGCACGGGTGAGTCAAGACCAGAAGAACCACTCACCTGAGCACAGCTCAAATTGTCAACCCACAGAATTGTGAGCTAAATAAATTATCGTTATTTCAAGCCATTGGGTTTTGGATAATTTTTTATGCGGCAAAAGTTAATAGATGTAAGGAGTCAATTAAGGAAGTGACCAACAGACTCTCTAGAATCTTAGTGCAGTCATCATGAAGGCCTAGGGTGATCCTTAGTGACAGAGATCATGTTATGTGTTTCACGAATCATTTCCTTTTCTTGTTGGGCATACAATACCACATTTCCCAGCCTTCTTGTATCTAGATAAGGCCATATCACTAATTCTGGCCAGGTGTAATGTGAACAGAGATGGTGAGAGTCGTTTCTGTGCTAGGATGATAAGCCTTCAGTATGCTTTCTCAAATTTTCTCTTTACTTCATCTGCCAGCTGGGTGAAATCATGACTTCAAAGACCATGATGGCAGAGCAACCAGATAGAATTGAACTGCTTAGAAGTGAGTGCCTAACCTGTATCCACCTCTGATGTGAGCTATTTATATTATATTAAGCTACTGACATTCAGAATTGTTTATTATAACAACTAGCATTTATTACTCTAATACCTAGTTAGAGACAAGGCATAGTTAACATCCTAGAGCTCAAAGGGAATTTATTTTTAAGATACTAAATATATTTCTTTTTAATTTTATTATTTATTTCTAATACAAAAATAAGACAATACATTCACCTACTTCAAAAATCAAAAGATAAAGAAGGGTTTAGAACACAGACAATAAAACTCTTTCTTATACCTATCCACTAGCCATCCAGATCTTTCTTTGAAGGCAATGTCAGAGATTTCTTGTGTATCCTTCAGAAATATTTTTGCATATGCAAGCAAGTGAATGTATGTGTGTTTGTGTGTAGGGTAGCATGATGTTTTACACATTGTTGTGTACCTTAAAATTTTAACACTAAATTTTGGAGATCTTTCCTTATAGTACATAAATAGCTTCCTTATTTTTTTCAGCTGCATACTAGTGCATTGGCTGGATATATTATAATTAACTGAACCATTCCTAAGTTGATTACCATTTGGCTTGTTTCTACCCTTTTGCTAAGACAAACAATGGTGCAGTGACTCCATCCTTATACATATGTCATTTTGCACAAGTGTGAGTTGACCTTAAAGAAAAATTACTAGAATTGGAATCAAATGGCAATATACATTTACATTGTTAAAGGAGGTTTCCAAATTTTATTTGTAGAGATTTTACAATTTAAGCTTCTTACAGCAATATATGAAAGTGCCTGTTTTTCAACACCCTCCTCAACACAGTGTGATAATCACAATTTCAATGTTTGATGAGCTGATAACTTTTCTATTATATGTAGTTTGTTAATCTTTTCATATGGTTAAAAGTCATTGGTTTTCTCGTGAACTGTCATTTGCTAATTTTTCTATGATACTGAATGACTCGTCTTTTTTCATTACCTGGAGCCATAGGAATAGATAATGTTCATGTTGAGAGGAAGACAGGGTCTACCTTCACTACCCAAAACTGAGTACAGCTCAGGGAATCCAGACAGTGAAGTAACCACTGCCAATCCATCCGGACAGGAGGAGAAGGGAAACTCTAGCTTTGTTCAAGATCATATCCATAAGGCCTCCCAGGATGCCTGGCACACAAGAAACACTCAATAAATTTTACTAAAGTTTTAATTAGTAGATGAATGAATGTCAAATGATGGAGCTTGGCAATTCTTTTTTTTGACATGAATTCCTATCAGAACTTGATTTCTGCCCTTACGAATTGATCCACAGGAAGGTCTCAAGTGTTGGTAATATAGAAACTAAGGATTCTTCTGCTACATCAGCTAGAAGAGCGTGCCAGAGGCTGCTTACGGCAGGACCTTGTGCTCCAGAGACTCGCTGCACAATCTCAAGGCTCCAGGCAGTGTCGAGGAGCCAAATGATGACATGTGTGGCGGCTGGGATGGGTTCTCCCAGTTGCCACTTGGTCCTTCATGTTACTATAGCAGAACAGAATGAAACAGGAGATATTGGTGAGCTTTATCTCCTGGGAACTCCAGAGCCTTCCTTCTCCTGTGGAGCCCAGTGCCTTCCCTCTCCTCCTCAACATCAAAACCACTTTTAGAAAATATTTCTCTGTTAGTCATCTTCCTGGTTTGGGTTCCTATAACAATCCACCCTGGGAAAATAATTTGTGTGCAAGTAGTTTTTTTGGGAAGTGAAGACAATTCCAGTGGACAAGTGATGACCATCAGGCAAAGAGATACCAGCACTGGTGACTGGAAGAGAGACCAGTGGGCACTTCAGTGGTCTGGGTGAGGGACTATGAGTGGGGCACTGATATCTTCTGCTCCAGTCACTTATACTCTAGCCTTGTCTCCAGTCTGGCCCCACCCTTTTCTTCCACCCATTTTTTCCTAGCACCCGGAGTGATCTAAAATGAAAATCAATCCCTTCACTTTTCTGCACTTAAAGCACAAACTCCTTAGCAAAGCCTCATAGCTTACAATTGCCCCTTGCCCTTCAGGTTTCAAACCAGAGACACCTGTGGTTCCCAAACACCACTCCCCCCAACCCCACCACCCCCTGATGCAATCACTTCATTGCCCTGTGATTGACTGACTGCCTTGTCTGTTCTTCCCTGATGCTCCAGCTGATGGGAGCACCTCCAAGGCCAAGACTAGGTCCCTGGGCTTCTGTATCCACAACCCCAGGCACCTGGCATGCAGCAGGCCCTTGCTGACTGTTGAATGGATACGTGAATTTAAATGATAGAAAGAAAGCATCAGAAAGGGCATCAGGAGCAGGTAAGAGAACGGTTTTTTGTTTGTTTGTTTGTTTTCTGAAACGGAATCTCACTGTCGCTCAGGCTGCAGTTCAGTGGCACAATCTCCGCTCACTGCAACCTCCGCCTCCTGGGTTCAAGCGATTCTCCTGCCTCAGCCTCCCGAGTAGCTGGGACTACAGGCACCTGCCACCATGCCCGGCTAATTTTTTGTATTTTTAATAGAGATGGGGTTTCACCATGTTAGCCAGGATGGTCTCTATCTCCTGAGGTCGTGATCCACCTGCCTCAGGCTCCCAAAGGAGGCCTGGGATTATAGGCATATTTTGAGGGAAAGAGAACAAATAGGTATTTTGCTAAGCATCCACTAGGAACAAGGAGCTTTATAGACATTATCTTATTTAATACTCATAACGATCCTGTTACTATTCCCATCTAAAAAAACAAGAAAACTTAGGCAAAGAGAGGTTAAATGACTCTCCCCAAGTCACATGGATGGTGGATGGTGAGTGTCATAGCCAGTATGCAAATGCTGCTCGCACAAAGAAATGACCAGAAAGCCCACACACTTTTTAATCACACCACTGCTTGCAATTATACCCTCTGCGTACACTGCAAAGTCTGCTTTACGGATGTGAGTCTTGAAACCTCTCAGCTCAGAATGCCTATCCCTTCTTTCAGGCAGTGAGGCCTGAAAGCAGTAGGGGCAAGGAGATCATGCCCCACCCCTCTTCCTCTCCTAGCCATCACTCATGGAGTTGCTTGCAATGCTTGGCTCCTCAGAGCCTCTCTTGGTTCTGAGCGTCAGCATTTCTGTTATCACACGTTATCAGTGCCAGGTCTCCCTGGGACAAAGTGCTTATTGGAATCCTCCAGAAGCCCACTTATCACACGTCCCACACCAGAGAGGCCCTGGCTCTCTGGAAACAAGTCCCTTTCCATCAGTCTGAGATGGAATTAATCTCCCAAAGGACCCCATGCAGCCTTTATGAACCAATCAAAATTGGTTCCACATTGAGTTTCCGTGGGTTTTATTTTATTTTCCCTCCAAATCTCACTGCTGTTGCATTAGGCACCAGCCTCTGCAAGTTGCTTAGAAACTGCTTTGCGTCAGCCAGCTCATCCAGGTCCCCATGTGCAGGCAGAATGATAAGCACCACTACTTATTTTTTTTTTAAATACAGACATATAATTAAGGAAAACATTCTGATGTGTGCAAAGTCCAGCTGGCAACAAACAGCCAGTGAGAAAGGGCTCAAGGTGGAACAGAGCTGAGGATTTCAATGTGAAAATGAATAAATAAGACCCCCATTCACTCCTCACTTTGCAAACCTAGGGTCAACACCAGTTTTAGGTGACTCACTGTTTTTTTCCAAAATCGGTTCTACTCTGGGTTTGCCCAATCCTTCAGAACTAAAGATGTTTCTCAAGGGGGAGACACTTCTAATTCCATGTGTTAGTATTCTGAATGAGAACAAAAAAGAGAAGAGAAGATACTGCCTGGCAGTGGACATGCGTTGTGTTTGTTAGCTCAGCCGCCATGCCACCCCCTTCTGCAAATGGCACTTGGATTCTGCTTTGGGGTGCCACCTCCTTCCTGTTCCAAGTCATGGGATTTGTGGGGGTTACTCAACTCATAAGGCTCCAGGGAGTAGACACATGACACGGGCCTGGCCAGTGGAATTGCTGAGGGCTTGGACATGTGACCCGCACTTGTTCCAGGAGAGTCAGCCCTGACACTTGGTTGGAACTCTGGGAAAGATGGTATTTTCTCCCTGTTGTGTTTGCAGCCCTGGTAGAGTAGATGCCTGATTCTGCTGGTCATCATCTTTGCTACCAAGTAGGAGGGCCTGCTGAGGATGAAGCCAAAACAGAGTAAAATTAAGAGAGAGAGATCATATTGCTGTAGCCACTGAAGCCAGACTTTCCAGTTAAATGAGTACATAAATTTCCCTTCTGTTTTGCTTAAGTCTGTTTGACTTGTGCTTTTTGTCATTTGCAGCTAAATAGTCTTGGAAAGCAATTGTGCCAATCTCTCACTTTCACCAAAAATCTGCTTCCTACCTTTTAGATAGGGCCAGCACAGAAGGACTCTGCTTTGTGGGTTCTTATGAAGGTCTTGATACTCATTGGTAAACTACTTCTCCCCTATAGGGAGAGTGGGGGAAAGGGGAGTGGGTATGTGCTCAACAACATGGGGAAGGGGAATGATGTCTTGAAATTCTCTCTTTTTTTCCTTCAATTTTTATTTTAAGTTCCAGGGTACATTTGCAGGATGTGCAGGTTTGT